GAAAGCCCCTGCTAAGGGTCGTGACTTCTGGCTATGTGGGGGCCTTAGGGAGAGCCCTAATGGGAGAGCATACTGTTAAGAGAGCCCTCTGACTACAAATGTTCTTAAAGAGCCTTTGATTTACCAAGGGTTTTGAATGAAAGTCCTTTCAGTGAGCCCTAAGGCCCAGGATATGCTAGCTGTGTGACTTAATTTACGTGCGCAACCGCACATACTTGCAGCAGAACGATCAGAGCACGATACTGGTAGTGTTGCCAAAAACAAATCACCAAAAGTCGCTATTGGTTCTCTGAAAAGTCGCTAGATTACGTCATGACGTTACTATGATGTCATAACATCAGACACGACTCACTGAGCTCAAGAAAATGTGTCTACATGGCTATGTTGACAATCCCAAAGGGTACAGTTTCGAGATCGGGGCTAATGCCCAGTGCTGCTTAACCATGAAATAAGCTTCTGGTGGCGGTGCAGAGCTGAAGTTACATTGAAAAACAATGTTTTTGACACTCGAGAGTTGTTGTTTTTTTAAAGTCGCCAGATTCACCTAAAAAGCTGCTAAGTAGCTAGATGAGGTTTTAGTCGCCAGAGATGGCCAAAAGTCACTAAATCTAGCGACAAAGTCACTAAATTGGCAACATTGGATACTGGCGGTATCATGTAGAGCAGACCTGGGCATATTACGGCCCGCGGGCCGTATTTGACCCGACTCTGACTGACCCGCGAAAGGTTGCTTGGAATTTAGAAAATAAAACCTACTTTTGAATTTTAATGCGTGGACTAAAACAATAGGATGTAAAAACTAATGCTTTTACTTTGAAGCCTGTTTCTTTATGTACAGTGAACGTAGCCTACGACGTCGTATATGTAATCCGTAAAACAAGTCAATCAGTGCACATGATTAGCGGCCATTGTCACGCCTCAACGATGTACGGGCATGTTAAAAAAAAGAAAGGTGGACGCTTAAGGCCGAAATTTCAAGAAGATTTGGAGCACTAAATATTTGTTTACTGAAGTTGGCGGTAAACCCATCTGTTTAGTTTGTGGTGAGCAGGTCGCTGTGTTCAAGGAGTACAATTTGAGTCAGCATTATGAGACAAAACACGCAGAGAAATACAGACACTTGGCGGAGGCTGAGAGAGCGCGAATTTCTGAAGACTTGCTAGCAAAGCTAGCAAAACAACAAGGCTATTTTACCAAGCTACACACAGCCCGGGATGCAGCGACCAAGACCGGCATTTGTAATATCCCACAAAATCACTAAAAACTGTAAGCCATTCTCGGATGGTGAGTTTTTGAAGGAGTGCTTGGTGGACTCTGCCACGCTAATATGCTCTGAGAATAAAGAAGCATTTGAAAAGGTCCCGCTGTCCAGGCGAACCGTCACCAGAAGGGAAGAAGGCATCGCGGAGGATCTCAAACTTCAGCTAAAAAGTGGAGTTGAAAGTTTTGACTTTTTCTCTTTGGCTTTGGATGAGAGCTGTGATGTCCGTGACACTGCCCAGTTACTGGTATTTCTCAGAGGAATAAGGCAGGACTTCAAGATTACGGAGGAGCTGGCAGCATTGAGGTCAATAAAAGGAACGACAACGGGGAGCGATCTGTTCAAGGACGGGAGCGTAGTTGAAAGTACTTAACAAGGCGAAATAATCCAAGTTTTTCTTAACATTGGACGGATTTTAAAGCTTGTGTCTTTTATGATTTCATTCAGGCTATTCAGATAAGCCGAAAACAAAAGCCCTCTGATTCGGAATATTTGCTGTCCCGAAATTATAATGTTCTCTAGCTTAACAGCTTACTGTACAGTTTATACATCCAAGTACACCTCTATATGTGCATTTTTGAGACACATAAAAACAAAACGAAAGTTTGCTGCTCCATTTGACATGTTGTCATGATCTAATACCTGTGTTTTTTTTATTTTTTATTGAGATCATTTTCTTCCACTTTTAGAAGCTGATGAGTGGAGGAGTTACATTCTATGGCAGGGGTGCATTCTACGGCACAACACCTGTCTTCTGCTAACCAGCCAGAATCAGATAAGTGAAACAATAAATTATTTCTGTCTTCTGCTAACTTTGAAGCATCAAACAAATTGTACTGTGTACGGTGGGTCAACTTAAATATCTAACTAATGTTAGCCCTTGTACTTTTTCATAGACAAATGACCTGACAACAAAAATTGATATTTATATACTGGTTGAAAATAGCCCTTTGAGAAATTCATAGTAAAGTTATTAAAAGGTTAATATAATTTAAAAATTCATGGAGAAGTTTAGAAATTTAATCCAAAAAGAAGAACTCAATACACCCTCATTTAAACCATGCATTTAAATATCCTGCCTTTTAAAAGAATCCAAATAGAGAATCGATAGAAATCGAAATGGAAACGAGGAATCGAAATTGAAAAGAGGAATCGTTCAAAAGCAAACAATACCCAACCCTAATGAGGGTGAGGTTTTTGGCCTGTCCCTCACTACCATTGTTGTACGTATACAGGACTTTAAATTTTTTAAACGTCGGCAAAATGTTAAAATTTTCACATTTACATATTGTTTTAAGTATGATCTTATTGTTAAACAGTGTTTTTGGTAATAACATATATTAGTTATTATAAATACTTAGCAATTTATCGGCATCCCCTGATTTCAAGTCAACCCTGTTACCCTTACTAAAAAGCCCCCCAAAAATAATGGAACATTCCTGATTTGACACGATTGACAGGAGGTTGCATCGTCTCTAAGCCAGGATGCTAACAGCTCAGTGACAGTTAAGAGTCTCTCATCTCTGATGTGCTATTTTTTATGTTTTTTCAAGGTTTAACCTGGGGGGACAAGCATGCAACGTCAACCCTGTTACCACTTTTTAACATATAAACCTAAACAATTTTCTATTTCTCAAAATATTATCAATATCTACAAGTAATCACCTTTCAAAGTACCTAGCTTGCACTTTAGCTAGCACTTATTTAAGCTAGTCACAGGCAGATTAGCTTAAAATGGTCAACCCTGTTACCTTCATACAGTAACAGGATTCAACATGTGAGAAACAGGGATGACATAGAATCATGTTTACCCTCGTTGTACTCTCTCTAAAGGTTAACCTTTTAAAATTCCAACATTTTTAGGTAAGTTGAAAAGGCACCAGTTTCATGGAATGACCCATTATATATATATATATACATATATAATAAATGAGACTGTCTGCATCTACACATATAGGCAGCAAAGTTTCACAGGACACACCGTTATATGTTCTCAATCAGGACGAGCTGCTTCTTTCTGCTTTAGGATATGAGCTGGTCAAAAACTATCACATCTTAATCACATCTGTCACAAATCAACTCCAAGAGTGAAAAAGAAAATATCAACTTCCCCTCTCCATCCATCCAGCTAATTATACACCAGCGTCTTTATTGGGCACACCTTGCTGGTACCAGGTTGGATGCTCTTTTGCCCTCAGAACTGTCTTACTTTTTGGTGGCAGACTTTCAAAGATTTGACAGCTGCACATCCATGTTTCTCAACATCAAAAAAGTGCTCTATTAGAGTGTGACTTGGGGACTGTGGAGGCCACTAGAGTCCAGGGAAGTCATTGTTTGAGATGATATGAGTTTTGTGACATGTTGCATCATCCTGCTGGAAGTACCCATCAGAAGATGGGTACACTGTGATTGTATATATATTGTGAAAATATATGAATAAATAATTGACCTGGTCAGCAACAATACCCAAGTAAGCTGTGAGGTTTAAGTGCTGCTCAGTTGGTACAATGGGGCCCAAATTGGGACAAGAAATTAGGGGTGGGTAAATGGAATATCATTATCAATCTCTAAATCTGAACCTGAAATAAGACTTCACACACTTAAGTAAATATTAACAAAAATGAAAGACAGTGTTATGAACAATAATAAAAATCACTTAAAACTAATTTACAATACACATCAAATATAGAGCTTTTTTTTTCTTTTTCTCTTTATTTTTTGGGCTGGTTCTTTACTTTTTGTTCACAACTTAACAGCTCAAAAACTTACCCTCTCCAGGACTCTCTCTTTTCCTCTCCACCCCACTGTTATATTTAACATGCCTTGTTTTCGTTTATTTTTTGTTAATTATTTGTTGTCTCACGAGTCACTTCGACAAATTTGGCTTTTAAATCTTACCACTCTGTGCTGAAACCTGACACCATAGTATAGCTACTACCTGGCTCATTTGCATACTAAACAGTGATTGGATGTTTACTGGGGACTGCGGGGGAAGATCATGTGTGTCTATGAGCCAGAGAAGACAAACATGCATTAGAGAAGAGGACCAGAGGTAAAAATTTTTTTTAAAAAAAAGCAGATTCTGTCTTGTCCTTTTTCAGCTAATTTTTCCGCTTCTGCAGTTACTTTTATCAACTTAAAACACATTAACTTTGTGGTTAAACAGAAATGTGCTTTCTCAACTTCTTAAATTTTGATTTGAATAAGCAAGACATTTATTTAGACATGTTAGGGACACAATGCGCACCAGAGTCGGTTCTACGATCTCTGTGCTGAAGCAGATCGTCATCACATTTAATCGTTCATGATCTAAGATCGTCAAACCGCACACCCCTACAAGAAAATATTCCACATCATTAGACCAGCAGCGGCAACGGCCTGAACCATCATCCTAAAGTAAACGCCTGTCAGGAACTCTCAAAACTATCATCAGATGTTCTTTGGTTCAATATACAGCACAAGGGAAATCCTCTGAAACAGCCTTTTGGAACAAAGAGCAGGATAAGAGGCAGCCAGTAAAGTTTGTCAGTCATTCAAAGACACCAGAGCTGATCCACTCTGGAAGTCTTTTGATCTGCAGCTGGGTCCCCAAGCCTTTGCTGGCCTGGACTGGTGGTTGCGGTTTCTGTGGTTGTTTTGGTCGTGGAATGACCTGGTGGTCAGCACAAACATTCAGTAGAACTGTTGTACCAGCAGAGACGAGGATGCAGACAGATTGTCTGGAGCATCACAGTCCATCGATGCAGGCAGCCAGACATGTGACAACCATCTAACCAGCCTGCAGACTCCTGGATCCACATGTAGGCTGGGAAGATGCCTGCTCACAGAGCCAGCAGCAACTTTCCCATCCCACCCAGTGACAACACAAGCTGCCAGCTCAACGTTCAAACTGAGCTCACAGCTGGGCAGATGGATGGATAACCACAGCCCAACTTCTGAGAAAGTGATGAATGTAGAAGAGGCAGAATATCATTTCTGCCCACAAACATGTCCTTTTCATTTAAAGGGAACCATTTGCTGAAATATGAGGGATTACAAAAGCATGTTGGCCAAGATTACAAGAAACCAGGACAAAAAGACACTGGCAAGTGTTCAGGACATGGAGACCTTCAGAGTTACAGTTCAGCGGCATTGACTTCTTAAATCTTGACTTTCATTCAATTATGTTTTAAAAAATTGGCTTCCTCTGCACTTCAGAGAGTCAATGGCAGGTATAAGAACCAAATCAACATTTTTAAAGGGCGACAGAGTGACATCAGGCAGCCCACAAAGAAAGCCAAAATATTTAACCCTCTATTCCTACTTTGTCCATTTTGCAGACATTTGTAATTTTTTTCATCTTTATTTTGAGCTGACACTTACATTTTTAAAGATTGGGGCATCGAATTTGGTGAGAGTTCTTATTTTTCTTATTAAAAAAAAATTAATTAAAAAAAAAAAAAAAAATGTGTCACCTGTAGAACTTTTTTGCCGCGTTTTAGCTCCATCCAACCTACCTTGTCCGCAAAACAGACAATAGACTTCCATTAAAAACATGTATTTTGACTGTGCATTTATGGTATCATAACAACATATCACAACCTTTTTTTTTGCAGTCACTCGATCACCATTTTAAAATCATAATTTTTGGACTCATCGTGTTTAAAGCACTAATTCATCCACTAAACATCATCAGAATGAAATGAAATTTACGTACCACCAGATATGGATGTCTTAGTTATGCTATGTGTGTAAGGAAAAGTTTGTGTGCTCCTGCGTGCATGCACAGGTGCGAATCTGCGTCCATGTTTATAACTGTGAGGGGAGTTTTTACAGTCGAAATGCGACATCCAAGTTCTGCAGTGTGGGACAAAGAGAGGGGGACAGTTGGACAATTTTATCTTTGCCCTCACTTTAGAGCAAGTGGATGAACATGTATGAGGGTGCACAGGTCCATCAGATCATTAGGGGTGAGAAAACATCACATCTCAAATATGCAGTAAATTTGTATTTGGTGTAATTAGCGTAATCACAGTCATATTTTGTTAGAGGTGGATAAGAACTCAGAGGTGATTCCTATCTTATATATATCTGTCTGATTTCATATGCCTATATAGAAAAATTTATTTAATATGAACAAATGAATTCGCTTGCATTTGATTTGGTAGAGGACAAGGCTCGTGAAAAGGAGGTAAAACTGTCATGTTTTTCCGCTCCAATAGACACACTTGTTAAGAACACACACACTTTACCAATAAATACAAGTCACATAACATGGTGCACAAAAACTGGCATTGAAAGGCTGATACATTACATTTTTTATTAATTATTTTTTTAATGGTCAGGGCTGAAGTTGTTTAAGAGATATGAGTCAAAAAAGTATGAAAAAATGTTTGAAATTTGCTATTTATGAACACTTATCTGCATATCTGTTTTGGGGAAAAAGGCTGGATGGAGCTAAAATATGAAAATTGGCACTACAAAAAAAATTAAATACACAAAAATTGATTTTACTACTTACCATTGACATGGCTTAGACTATCTATTTTTAAAAAGAAAATCATCTAGGTCATTTTATGTAGGAAATATGGCGTTTTTGTGTTTTTTACTGTTAAAAATAACAGTGACATGGTGCACAACAACGAGGGGGAAAATTCGAATCCTTCATTTTTTAATGGTCAGGGCTGAAGTTGCTAAAGTGATATGAGTCAAAGTACAAAAAACATTTAAAATGATTGTTTATAAATACTTATCTGCATGTCTGTTTGGGGGACAAAATAGGCTGAGTGGAGCTAAAATTTACAGTAACCAAGGGTTAAACAGCAAAGTAAAAAATAAAAAAAAATAAAAATGGCTGTTCATGGCTGTTCCTGGAAATGTTGGGCCTCAATCACAACGGAAGTCAGAGGCAGATTCATAAACCAGCAATGAAACCACTCAACCATTTGCACCTATTTTTAAACTAGTAAATGCCATGTCCTTGAAAGCTTGAAGCAAGTGACAGTTGAATAACATTGAAATATGGCCCTCTGTGATGGTATGTCACAGTGGTGTCCTGGGCATACACTGAAATCTCACAGGAAACAAAAGTTTTCAGAATTGTGCCAGTCATAATCTAGACAACTTGTTTACCGGACTCCAGGTAAAAAAGCTTCAGTGGTTCTGAAACAGAGGCCCTGCTGCTGTGAAACACCCAAGGGCTAATTTATTATGTTTAGTGGTGCCAGAAGTGTGACAGAAAACAGATAAAATCAGTGATATCACTCATTCAGAAGAGGCTGCCTTAACAAGGCTGTCATCAGAAATGGCAAGCTGTACTCAAAAAAGAATCCACAGCAGCAGTTGACATTTACATTAAAAAGTTTGATCGCAAATCTGTGGGGAAAATGGCCTGAGATTAAAGGAAGGTCTTGAGACCTGTACTGATGTCTTATGTAAACTTTGTCTTAAATGTTTATATCCCCACCTGAACAGTACATGTATTGCTGATCTGACTCTGACTCAGTCTGACTTGGTGCAAAACTGGAAAAACCGTCTTATAATCAGGCTTTAATGGGGTTGACAACTCGGATACTGTATGGACAAATTCACATTTGAAATGTTATTGCTGTCTTAACAATATCAGCTCTGATAGTAGGACGCTATGATGCAGCGACTGGCAGCTTTTAAAAAACTGTTTCTGCAACATTTCGGGACTTTTCAATCCCACACAGAAGATCAGAGTATCTTTATGACCGTCTGGATCAAATCCCTCCAAACGCAGGACATCTGTAATCATTTATGCTATTTTAGTAAAAAGTAGTATCATTTCACATAAATCTAAAATGTTCACCTCTTGTTAATAAGTACAACCAAAGATAAAACCAAAACTGTTTCTACAGCTCTGTGGAGTTTTTCCTTAGCTGTATCGTTCCAAAACATCTCTTTAATCTTGGCATCTCTTCTGTTCTATTTTTTGTCTCTTTTCTCCTGTTTTTAATCCTACTTTAATCCTGTTTTTCTTCTGTTTTATCTTGTTTTTCCCTTGTTTTTTCTTATCTCCATCTTCATGACACAGTTCAGGGAGACATTTCGCTGTGTTGTCAATATAGGCTCAGATTTCACATGCTCCCTTTTCTATGTAGTGCTGCAGAAAACATCAACTGAACAGCATACATGCCTGCAAACTATACACTATCAAGTACAATTACATGTATGGAAGTTTCAGACAACGAATTCCAACATGCTACGTCTTGTTTAATGTACTGTATACACCAACAAATAGGGGCTTGTCATTAGTTTTTAGATAAAATCCAAAGATGTGCAAAAACACAGTGTTTTCAGTACAGTTAGGGAGATATTAAAGGATTTCTTTAAGTCATGAGAGTAAATAAAAACCGGCCTGCTTTGAAAAACACATGTAGCCAGAATTTGTTGACATTCTCCAGAAAATGACATTTTTCCCAGCAGCCAGCAGAAAGTTAAGGCACAAGACAATATCAGCCCCTCAGGAAGCCCAGGAGGATCTTTTTTTTTTTTCTTTTAATTTCCTATCCAGTTAAATTCCTGCTTGCAGAGCACTGTCACAGCTCTTTCAAAATAGTATCACTGAATTGGCCAAGTGAGTTATCCCATTTCTGCTCTATTATGTCTCTGGAGCAGGGGACCATCTCCAAACAAGCCCAAAGCTTCTGAGAAAAGGTGGCCTGGCTTTTCCAACAATGTTTAGCAATTTGGGCTCAGGTGTCTGAGTTGGAGTGACTGAAACGAGCAGCTGTGATAGACTGAGCCTTGCCCTGCTCTATCATGTACAGTGGATATAAAAAGTCTACACACCCGGTTCAACTGCCAGGTTTTAGTGATGTAAAAAAATTAATTCAAGATAAATAATTTCACAACTTCTTCCACCATTAATGTGACCTATAACCTGTACAACACAATTGAAAAACAAACACAAGTCTTTCAGGGAGGTGAAGTAAAAATTAACAACTGAGATCATGTGGTTGCATAAGTGTGCACACCCTTTAATAACTGAAAATGTGGCTGTGTTCCGATTTAACCAATAACATTCAAACTCAGGTTAAATTGGAGTCAGCACACACCTGTCACCAATTAAAGTAACTGATCAACCCCAAATAAAGTTCAGCTGTTCTAGTAGGCTTTTCCTGACAGTTTTGTAGCCACATCTGCCAGCACAAGCCATGGTCCGCAGAGAGCCTCCAAAGCATCAGAGGGATCTCATTATTCAAAGATATCAGTCAGGTGAGGGCTACAAAATAATTTCCAAGGAATTAAATATACCATGGAACATAGTGAAGACCGTCATCATCAAGTGGAGAAAATATGGCACAACGGTGACATTACCAAGAACAGGACGCCTGTCCAAAATTGATGATAAGACAATAAGAAAACTGGTCAGGGAGGCTACCAAGAGGCCGACAGCAACACTGAAGGAGCTGCAGGAATTTCTGGCAAGTACTGGCTGTGTAGTACATGTGACAACAATCTCCCGCTGTCTTCATATGTCTGGACTATGGGGTAGGGTGGCAAGTCAGAAGCCTTATCTCACAAAGAAAACATTAAAGCCTGGCTTAATTTAGCAAAAAGACATCTGTAATCTCCCAAACGTACGTGGGAAAATGTGTTATGGTCTGATGAAACCAAAGTTTAACTTTTTGGGCATCATTGCAAAAGGTACATTTGGCGCAAAAACAACACTGCTCATCACCAAAAGAACACCATACCCACAATGAAGCATGGTCATGGCAGCATCATGCTTGGGGCTGTTTTTTTTCAGCTGGAACTGGTGCCTTAGTCAGGGTGGGGGGAATTATGAACAGTTACAAATACTAGTCAGTGTTGGCACAAAACCTTCACCTAACCTT